TAAACTTATTCAAATAGAAATATTTATTTTATCATTGAAATCAGCCTACTCTATTTTTTTTTTAAATCACACCGAGTAAGACATTCTTTATAAGAAGGAAAATTTAAGTAAAGTCAGTCAACTTTGTTTTTATTTTTTGGTAAAATGTCGGTCAATTTTCTAGGCGTTATTTTTGGTTCATTTGAAAGATTTTGATTTCATTTCTGGTACGAGACGCCTGAGGAAGACGTCTAGCATGGAAAGATATGTTGAAAATTAGTAAAATTGCATACAAATATGACGTGAAACTTGCTCTACATATTTGGTTAATGCCTAAGTGAGTATGGTCACTCGTTGGTTTGAAAAAAAAAAAGAAGGGAAATCAATGAAAGTTATCCTCTCTCTCTCTCTTGCACTTCACACAACAAAGTTAGTTTTTCATTAAGCTCTATATAAGATCTAATTAATCTAGTAAAGTATAGATGATAATTTCAGCTATTATTGGATTCACAACTATATATTACTCTGAGTAAAATGATATCAAAATAAGCAAAATGTTATTTTAATAATAAAAGTATTACATAACATAATTAGCTCTAACTATCGGTACAAATTAAAATTTAATTAAGGTGGAGTATGTTTTTGTCTTTTAAAGAAAATGAAATATTCTATATAGGAATAGAGAATATATGAGAGTTTAAAGTTGATCATTCTCAAAAGCATTTGGGTAAGAGGGATAGAATTATGAAAAGGTAAATAAGAATAATACAGGATATAAATTACGGTCGCGTTTATATATGAGAGACGGTTAGAATCGTTTTTGGTTGATTTAGTGTGAAAAGTAAAGGATCAATTGATGTATATCAACGGTGATAGTTTGTATCACCTCAGAAATTAGACAAATATGAAGAGGAGAGAGAGAAAGAGAACGAGAGAGAAAACAACATAGAGAGTCATGATGGATTCATGTTAGTCATAGGAAAAAAAAAGTAACAAGGTAAAGAGACGAAAGGAAACAAAGAGACGAGGAGGTTACGACATATTACTTCACTAATATCCCAGAGGACATCATAATGTCAGAGATCAGAAAGGTGGTGTGTTGAAAGTAATTCCTTGTGTCGAAGTGGTTTGTTCGACAGAGACAATGGAGTATCAAAAAGATTTGATTTAATTTAGAAGTGTGGAAACAGTTTGTTACACAGATTTGTTTTAAATCTAAAATAGAATAAATTTGATTTATTTCTAAGATAAGTATTTTGGACTTTTATAATTTTGGATTTTGGTTTAGGGAGCAAGCTAACATAAATCTATAAATAGAGGGAGTAACCCCTATTTTTGTAATCAAGTCAATCAAGTTGTATTCATAGAACTTGCATTTGCAAGTGAATAATAAAGTTTTCCACGGTTTGTGGGCAGAGAGAAACTCTGCAGAAAAATACTTTCTTTCTTCATCTTCTATTCTTCATTGTCATTGTATGGTGATATCAATCTTGAGAATCAAGATTAATAGAAATTTATCATAGATTTTAGTGGATTTCCAACATTTGGTATCATGAGCCTTTCGTTTCGAGATAAAGATTGACTTACTTGTATCAAAATACTTCCCGCATGTGGTGGGTAGAAGGTATTCAGTTGAAGAGTATCAATAGTGATACAAGTTTATGTGGAAGAGAGAGCTTCCACATGAGGGAGAGCATTGTGTATAGACTCACACTTGAGAAGAAGTGTTGAGAATCAAGTGTAAGGAAGAAGTCCTACTTGATTAGAAAAGGGAAGATAGAACACTTTATAGGCGAGAGAATCCACACACCTATCACCTTAAGATTTTGGGTGAATATGTGATGTCTCTCTCACTTGTGTGTTGCTCTTGGCCCATTTTTAAATGCTCTCTCGTGTTGAAACCCCCCCCCCCCCCGAATTACTTCTAATATTGGTATCAGATCCTGGTTTAAGTCATCTAAATGTATTTGGATCTATAGTACATAGACATGTGCGTGATCAGTTGAGAAGAAAACTTGATGGCAAGTCGAGTCAAATGATTCTAGTTGGATATTATTCGACAGGAGGTTACAAGTTGTTCGATTCAGTGAACAAGCAGATTGTGATCAACAGAGACGTGATCATATATGAGCTTAAGGAATGAGATTGGACTGAAAATGTCAAGAAAGATTCAGTGGGAATCTTACTTGAAGAACCAGAAACTCAATTCGAAAGAGTAGAAGTTCGACAAGAGGAGGTTAGAGATCAACCAAGTACAAGCAGACCTCATAGAACAAGACACATGCTTGTAAAATTACAAGATTGTGTGATTACATCAGATTATGTGATCAATGATGAAGGTGAGCTAGTACATTATGCTTTCTACGCAGATATTCAACCTCTAAATGTAGTCGAAGCATTAAAGGATTCGAAGTGGGTGAAAGCAATGAACAAATAAGTGAAGTTCATCAAAGACGACAACACTTGGTCACTTGTTGAATTGCCTCAAGGCAAGAAGGCAATTAATGTCAAGTGCGTATATAAAGTTAAGATGAATCCCAAAGGTGAAGTAACTTGACATAAAGCAAGGCTCATGGCGAAAGGATTTCTACAAAAAGAAGGAATAAATTTTGATAAAGTTTTTGCACCTGTGGCTAGAATCGAAACAATCAGGGTTGGTTGTTGGTCTTGCAGAAATAAATAGTTGGAACATATGTCAAATGGACGTGAAGTGTGCATTCCTGAATGGAACCTTAGACGAAGAAGTTTATGTTAAACAACCAGTTGGGTTTGTGAAACATAACAAAGAGAGAAAGGTGTACAGGCTGCATAAAGCCATGTATGGACTCAAATAAGCTCCAAGAGCTTGGAACAAGAAAATTAATAGTTTTTTAAGGGAGAAGGAATTTACAAAGTGCACAACTGAACATGAAGTATATGTAAGAAGAAACAATAGTGAAATTATTGCATTATGTCTCTATGTTAATGACTTGTTAATAACAGGTAGCTGCAAGAAGGAGATCGAAGACTTCAAAGGTGATCTCAGCAAGAAATTCAAAATGTCTGATCTGGGTGACATTTCATATTTCCTTGGCATCGAATTCTACAAAACTAGTAGAGGTTTGATGATGCATCAAAGAAGATATGCATGAGAAATTCTCAAGAGATTTGAGATATAAGAATGCAACTCGACTTCGACACCTACTGAACCAAGGTTGCAACTATGGAAAGATACATATGAAGATAATGTCGACCCAACCTAATACAGAAGAATTATTGAATCATTAAGATACCTTTGTCACAAGAGGCCTGACTTAGCATAAAGTGTAGGTATGGTAAGTAGATTCATACAAAAGCCAAAGGTATCGCACCTAGTAGCGGCGAAGAGGATACTAAGGTATCTGAAAGGAACTCTTGACTATAGAATTTTGTTTCCTACAGCTGATAAAGGAAAAGAATGCAAGTTAGTGGGATACACTTATTCGAGTTGGTGTAGTGATGTTGAAGATCGAAAATCAATAGCACGATATGTGTTTATGTTAGGTGGTGCGCCAGTTGCTTGGAGTTCGAGAAAGGAACTAGTAGTGACATTATCATCATGTGAAGCATAATACATAGATGCTTCTCTTTGTGCATGTTAAGCAACTTGGATGATGAACTTGGTTGAAGAGATAATAGGGAAAGATCATGGAGTAATTACCATGAAGATCGACAATATGTCAGCTATCAACCTGGCGAAGAACCTGATAGCTCATGGTCGAAGCAAGCAAATCAAAATGAGTTTCCATTATCTTCGAGAGCAGGTAGCAGATGGGAAGATGAAATTGGAATGCTGCAGAACTGAGAATCAGATTGTAGACATCATGGCGGAGGGTGTTGAGGTTGAAGTATTTCGAAGAATAAGAGCTATGATGAATGTATATAGATTAGACACAATGAATTAGGTGGTGTGTTGAAAGTAATTCCTTGTGTCGAAGAAGTTTTCTCGACAGACACAGGGGAGTGTCGAAAATATTTGATTTGATTTAGAAGTGTGGAAACAGTTTGTTACACGGATTTGTTTTAGATTTAAAATAGAATAGATTTGATTTAGTTCCAAAATAGGTATTTGGGGCTTTTTATAGTTTTGGGCTTTGACTTAGGGAGAAAGCTAACCTAAATCTATAAATAGAGAGAGTATCTCCTATTTTTGTAATCAAATCAATCAAGTTGTATTCATAGAATTTGCAAATAGAGGGAGTAACTCCTATTTTTGTAATCAAATCAATCAAGTTATATTCACAGAATTTGCAGTTGCAAGTGAATAATAAAGTTTTTCATAGTTTGTGGGCAGAATAAAATTTTTCATAGTTTGTGGGCAGAGACAAACTTTGTAGAAAAATACTTTCTTTCTTTTTTCATCTTTTATTCTTCATTGTTATTGTGTGGTGATATTAATCTTGAACATCAAGATTGATAGAAATTAATCATAGATTTTGGTGGATTTCCAACAACTCTCAGAAGAGGAATGATGTAGCAAGCGAAGGGAAGGGCTTGAGTTATTCTGCAGAAGAAGAGGACATCCAATGGAAAAGCAAATGTTACATGGGACAGGTACACAATATCGATGAGGTACCCATGTTGCAGCAGAAAATTATGGATGTAGGAATCCTATCTTTAGAGGTCATTCCTATGGGGGAAGTCTTTATTAAAGTGCGTGATGATGAGGACTTTGAGTCTTTGCTGAAGGAAGCTAGTGAAATCTTCCAGCACTGGTTCACTAAAATAGTCAAATGGTAACTAGAGGCAGTGATGAATGGCAGAACTACATGGGTTAGATTGTATGGAATACCGATACATGCATGGAATCAGAAACTATTTAAAAAAATTATCTTAAGAAGAGGTAGATTGATATCAGTGGACAATGTGACAGAGAAGAAGAAGAAGAGATTGTATGTAGCAAGGTTCTTGGTTAGAACAACAAATATGGAGAATATTAGCAAAATTGTCGAAGTGAAAATTAATGATTATGTCTTCAATATTAAAATGAAGGAAGAAGCTTTATGTGCCCATTGGAGATTAGTTATCAAAGCAAAGGCCACATAAATAGTACAGATGGTAAAGATGAAGTAGAAAACCTTGAGCTAGAAGACGAACTTGAGATTATAGACGGGGTGGAAGACGAAGAGGTAGAAGGATGGGAAGAATGGGAAAATAATTACGTGGAATTAATGTGCAATAATGAGGCGACGGCGGAGGGAAATAATTTGCATGTTCCCAATGAACGTAATAATGAGATGGCGGCGGAAAAGCAAAAGAGATATATGACTAACAACATACATGATGAGGCCATCAATGTACATCCAGGAGATAAAATTGAATTAGGGTAGGTAGTGGGCCTAGTAATTAAGGATTTGATTGGCCCAATAGTTGGGGAAGAGAAGTGGAGAAATAACAATATTATGAATGAGTATGTAAAGGAAAACTTCGGGCCACAACTTCAGCTCTTGTCCCAAATGGAGTTAGCAAGGAAAGAAAAGAAAATGGGCTTGGGATATGGCTTGATGGATTTTCCCAACTCACCAGATAGAGAGACAGAAGATGAACATATCCAAACAATCTCTCCAATCGAAATAGAGGGTATTGAAGATGAGGGTGAAAGTGGAATTCGGCATCTCCGATCAAGTACAAATATGAGGGGTGAAATGTGATACAAATATAACTCCTAGTGGTGGAATTAGTAATGAGCAGTCCACTGTTTTGCAGCCCAATATTGCTGAAGCTAGGCCCACTCGTACTAAGAGGATTCCTTCTAAGTACAATGACCATTTGCTTTATTAATGAATACTATATTTTCCTAGTTGCATTTTATTCCCTTATTTCTAGTATGCTTCTAGAAGGTTGTGACTCAGCCAAGTTTGTTAAGATTTGCTTAGCTGTGAGATCTCCCACTAGATTCTCTATTGCATTTCCTTTATATGCTGTAATTGCTCTTGAAGCGGATTATCAATGAAATACTGTTAAGAAAAAAACTCTCTTCTCTTTCTTTATACCTGCTTGAGGAGGTTTACTCAGTCCTTAAAACTGAGCACTATCATTTGGTGCTTTCATTGTGTTGAATTCATCCTTTTTCCATGGCTCCACCACCAGATCCCATCGCTGATCTCACTCGTCAAGTCGCCACACTTACCACTCAGCTGGATGCTATGCGTAAACGCTTCGACGATTCCGGAGGTTCTCGCTCCAGCGCCGATTCGCAACACCGTCCCCGTCTCAAACTCGACGTCCCTCACTTTGATGGTACTGATACACATGGCTGGATTTTTAAGATTTCTCAGTTTTTCACCTACCATCAAACTCCAGATGAGGAACGCATCACCATTGCGTCCTTTTACCTTGATGGTCCGGCGTTGGCGTGGTACCAGTGGATGTACCGGAATCGCCAGATCGCATCGTGGGATCAATTTCTAGAGAAATTGGAGATTCGTTTCGCTCCAACGGCATTTGATGATCCTCGTGGCAATCTGTTCAAGCTCACCCAATCGTCGTCAGTGACGGCGTATCTCACCGAGTTCGAAGCTCTTGCTAACCGTCTTGAGGGTTTATCTCAGGCTGATTTACTCAGTTGTTTCATTTCTGGGTTGAAGATTGAGGTTCGCCGTGAAGTGTTGGCTCAACAACCAAAGACTATTGCTCAGGCCGCCGGTCTCGCATGATTACAGGAGGACAAATTGCAGGACATTGTCGTTCTTCTCGTCCACGACCATCACCACCACCGTGGCATTCTACGTTTGGTTCTCGTCCTTCACCAAAGCCTAATTCCGACCCTCCCTCCACGGCGAAGTCTTCTCAAGGCTTACTTCCTATCCCACCTGCTAAGCCTCGATTTAGGCATCTTTCTGGGGCGGAAATGGATGATCGACGTAGCAGAGGGTTATGTTTCAACTGTGACCAACCTTGGTCTAAGCAGCATAAATATGGTGCCTGTATTTTTTTGATGGTGGCTAATGATGATGATCTTTCTTCTGCGACAGGTGATTTAGAAGCAGCGGTGGCTGACTTGGTTGACGGCGGCGTCACGCCAGAGGACACCTCGATTCACGCCGCTCAATTGAGCTTGCACGCTCTTTCTGGCGACCAAGCTGCTGACACCTTTCGACTTTCGGGTCGGATCTCTTTAGAACCAGTGGATATTCTTGTTGATGGGGGTAGTACCCATAATTTCATTAAAGAGACTATTGTTGCAGCTTTGGGCCTGAAGTTGAGCCCAATCGATCCATTCAGGGTTTTGGTGGGTAGTGGCCAAGAGTTGTTGTGTTCTCACATTTTCCAGAGGGTGTCAATAGTAATGCAAGGCCACTCATTTTCCATGGATCTATTTGTTTTGGGTTTGCGGGTGTTTACAGTGATTTCTGGTAAACAACCTCTAGTCCTCCAAACTATCAAATAATCTTAATGAGTGTTATTTAATCTCTCTGGTAACTTACAGGATCGACTAGATTGATCCTATGGTGTATTGGTCGTTTGGATAATTCTCATTGTAGAACTGATATTCATGGTTGGTATTTAGAATGTTGTGTAGGTGTTCAACTTACTTCGATTACCATATTAAAGATCTAATGGCATGATCAAGTAAATACGTGCGAAACTAAATTGCATGAATAAAGGTTCAATTGTAAAGACATGTAAAACTGCAAGAAACAAGTAAATAACTTCGAAGTATAAAAGCATGTAATGTAAAAGAGTTTCTGAAATGTAAAAGATTCGAAATAGAAAGAAAGCGTTTAAATGCAAGAAATCAGTAAATGACTTTGGATGAAAAGGTATTCGAATGATAAAAGCATGAAGATAAAAGCGTGAAATATACAAAATTTTCTGAAATGTAAAGGATTTGAAATAGAAAGAAAGCATTTAAATGCAAGAAATCAGTAAAAGACTTCGAATGAAAATACTTTAATGTAAAGGCTTTTGAATGATATTGACATGAAGATAGAAGATAAACTGGAAATGATAAAGAGTTTTTTGCTGAATCATAAAATATTTGGTGTTATCATACGTACATTGTTCGAGCATTCGTTTCCCTAGCCATGTGGTATTTTGAATGTTTACTGAATTTTGTACAATAGATATGACACACTAAATCCTAACGCTAAGACTTCTATTTATACTACTTTGACCATAACGGTCTTGCCTATAAGATCCTGCCACGTTCAGAACATACAGAACACTGCCCTTTTCTATCTTCCACGCGTCTTCGAATGCTCCAACGCATATATTTTAAATTTCGAACATCCCGCTTGCGTTTTGAATTTCAAATGTTTTGGCACTCTTCGCTTCGAACTCATTTCTTGGACACAGCCTTGTTACCACTTCGAGACTTCTTTTGAATATATCCCCATAACTGTCACTCGAAGCTCCGAGCTTTGACATGTTCATTCGAAGAACTACTTCTACCATTTCGAACCATGACATCTTGCTTTATTCCAACGAAACATCCAACTTGCTTCGCTTCGAACAGTATCATCAAAATCTTCAGCCAACAAAATGCCCCTTTAAAATATGTATTTCGATCCTTTGAGAAACACTTATTTTAAATATATATGCAATATTTTGATGTGACCTTTGAGTAATTGTAACATTTATTGTGTATGACTCCAGTCACGTCAGTCACGACGCCTCTTGGATTCCTTAACCGTCTTGAATTAGTACTTCACAGCATGGTGCAGTTATAAAACAATGATTATTATTAATCACGCCTATTACCAATATCAACTTTTACGCCACCTCTTTCTCAATCCAACCCACGACTCCCACGTATCATAGCCTTACTCAGTGGATGTTTAAACTTCCACACTATAAAAACCCATCAACTTAGTCTTTTATTTTTTCTTTCCACATTCTGAATCTTTTCTTCCTCTCTTCTCACCGAAACCCTAAAACTTCCAACAATCTTCAACAATGTCTTCTACAACATCATCCCAACTGAAGAAAACTTCCAAAAAGAAAGGAAAGAACACAGGAACAATAATGGAAAGCAAGGTTGGTACCTATCAAGGTCAATCTGTGCTTATCCCCCAAATGATCTCCAAAGAGAAGGAAATGCTCTACGCATCTCAGGTACTAATTCCAACTAACGCCGCTGGAAAGAGGTTTGCTCTAATGGGTCCTTTTACAGTCTTTGAAATCTTAAAAGATACTAGAAAAATCTTCCTTGTTTGTTATAATTTTAAGCCTTTGTTTAATAAAATAGATACCCCTAAGACAGGCGAGTCTTCTGATTCGACAACCGTGGAAACTCCAATCGTTCCCCCGAAAGACCCCTTTGTGCTAGACTATCTGAAAAGCAACTTCAAACCGTTCCGATCCTACCCTACCTCTGACACAACTTACCAAAATTGGTTTACCAAAGTAGAAGCCAAAAAATCCCAGCAATGGGAGGAATTAGGAATTTACAATTTGATTAAGCTGTCGAAACCAGGCTTCACCTATAGCCATCCATTATTATTTGCGTCCTTATATTTCTGGGACAACACCTACAACACCTTCCATCTCCCTGGGGGAATGATTACACCCACATTTTTTGATATAGCAGCCATTACTGGTTTGTCACCAGTAGGAGAAACCTACATTCCTGACAATGAAGAGCACTCGAGCATCATTGACTTCGAAGTCAAATTATCCAGCTTTTCAAAGTTCATTAGCCACTACCACACTGAAGGAGATAGTGTGTCAGATGTGGAACACATTGCTTTCCTCACCTTATGGTTATCAAGGTATGTATTCTGCAGCAGGTCCTTACAGGTAGCCAGTAGGTTCATCCCTCTAGCTAGAGACTTACATGAAAATAGGAGGGTGTGTTTAAGCGAACTGTTACTTGTTGATCTTTACGAAAGTTTAAGATCAGCCGTTTCGAGTTTGAAATTCCACACTCCCAAAAACATCCTCCTAGCTGGCCCCTTCTGGTTACTCCAGTTATGGCTTAATGCCATGTTCGAACCCTCGCTATCAACTGCTAACACTATTGTTGAACAAAATCCGGAGATAGCGGATAGAATCATTGAAGGTACGAGGCTATGAAAACTTACCCCAAACGATGATAAAGATGACTTCAAAGTTCTCTTCTCTAACTATATCATGATTTTCTCCAAGAGACACAAATTCGAAGAGACCATGGCGCCCTTCGCTTCAAGGACTCATGGACCATCATGGCTCACCATGGCTCTCTCAGAAGCAGTTAAAAGCAAAGAAATTCAAGATATTTGGAGAGCCTTTCTGCTTCCCAGATTAATCTCCTCGCGAATCACTCCTTCCAAGAATCAAATCTTCCTTTTTGCCTATCAACCCAACTTCGTTTCTAGACAATTTGGCCTGTGCCAACTAATCCCTGAACCTTTGTTCCAAACAGAAAGTGCCATCACTTCTGGGCGAACCTTCAAAGCAAGAGAAGCCAAACTACAACAGGAACAATATCAAGGCTTCGCCCACTTTGAACTAATACCTTTTGAACCTACACACTTCACAGCAAAGGGTTTTCTGGAATGGTGGACAAAGTTCTACCAATCTTATATGTTCGATACCCTCTCTATTCAACAGAAACTAACTGATGCGTTTGATGTGCAGGTACACTCCAAGAAAGGTATGTTCACTCATGCCAAAGAGATTAGGGCCTTTCAAAATTATTTCGAAACCACTTATGATCCCACACACTTGG